GGAGGGGAGGGGAGGGGAGGGGAGGGGAGGGAAGAGAATGAGAAAGGGAAAGCGAGCCCTTCCTTAGGGCAGCTTGACCATGAGAAGCAGCCTGGACATGCTTAGCTCCGGTCAAGCCCCTGCTCGCTTGGCCCCTGGGTGATGGCTTCCACATCCCCTACCCAGTAGGCCTTGGTGAGCGCTCCTCGGGCTCCACATCTCTGATCTTTGGCACACATTTTTACCCCAGGAAGAGTCTTTAGATGACACCACGCCAGGCCTCACCCAGAAGCCATCTGGGAAGCTTTCAGAAACTGTGCATTCAGGAATCTCTGACTCCGTGGTCAGCACCACACCCAGAGCCCTTGACAATGTGCGCAGTACACAGCTGCTCGCTGACCCTGTCACAACCAGTCCTTGGTCACCACCTACGAAACAACCCAGACCACAGAAGCCTCAGAGTGGCTCTGCCTTGAGGACAGAGACACAAAGTTCTGGACTGATCTCTGTGGACTCAAGTTAAGGACTGGCTGAACGGTGAAGCCCCAGGAGTAGATGAACTAATGAATGGATAGATGATGAATGGATGGAAGGAAGGATGGAAGAAAGGAAGGAGGGAGGGAAGGAAGGAAGGAAGGAAGGAAGGAAGGAAGGAAGGAAGGAAGGAAGGACAGAAGGAAAGAAGGAAAGAATGACAGACGGGTGATGGATATAGATGAATGGAAGTTGGTGGTGATAAAGGGATAAATGGATGGATGGACAAAAAGAGAAAGGAAGGATGGATGGGCAGTAGAAAAATGGACAGATGATGGATGGATGGGAGTTGGTGATGATAAAGAGATAAATAGATGGCTAGATGGATGGGTGGGTTGATGGGAGGTTAAATGGATGAATGGATGGACAGAATTAAGGATGGATGGATGATGAAGGGTGGGTGGACAGAAGAAAGGAAGGAGGGGCGGATGGGCGGAAGGCAGTGTGGATGGATGCTAGGTCTACCTCCACAGGAAGGAATGCTGTTATTCCCAACCCCCCCACCCCCACCCCACCCCCAGCCTCTAGACCCACAAAACAGGGCCATTTGTTCTGTGCTGCTCAGAGCACCGAGCTGAGCGATGCTGGCTCCTGGCTTCCTCTTCTGCACTGTCCTTTCCTCTCCAGGCGTCTGTTTCCCTGCTGCTTCCCCTTCCTCTTCCATCCCCTCCCTCCTAGGATGCCCACCGCCCCTGCCCCAGCCCCACCTCCTCCTCCAGCAGCTTCTGAAGCCGAGCTGCAGCTTCTCCTCCCAGACATTTCCCTGAGAAGAGGCTGCACGGTTACACAACACACTTTATTGGATGAGCCGCAGTGACTAACAGGGGTTGGGAGATAGCAAGGAGACAGCCTGGAGAAGGGGACAGGGAGCGCCACCTTCTGTGCCGTGGGTAGCCACCTGGGTGCCCTGCAGGCAGCCTGGCCACAGTGAGCACTGGAAAGTTCTGGCCCCAGGGTAGGAGACCGAGTCACGGAGATCCTCCTGCCTCTGCGGCACAAAGGATTCCATTCAGGCAGTCCAAGTGTCCTCACACCTCAAGCAGGGTTCTTCCAGTCCCTGCTGCATTTGTCCTATCCTGCATTTGCAGAGTCCCCAGGACAAGCCCAGGACAGGATGGGCCGCCTGCTCCAGTCGCATAGGCCCCTCTGGCAGTGGGAACGTCAGGCTATCAGCCCCTTCACTGCCATTCTGAAAGCTGAAGGGACCCCAGAAACAGGAGTGGGGGAGGGGAACGCTGCAAACTCGGGGCTGCTAGGGCTCTAAGCAGCGCCCCTCCCAACGCGGAAACTGAGGAGGAGCCGCTAGGACACCAGTGGGGACTCCCTGCAGGCAACCCGGCATAGACGCAGACCACGGACCTGCCGTGGGGCCCCACCCAGTGGGGTGCGTTCACCGGGCCCTCTCCGCCCCCAGATCTCTTCTTCTCCACCACAGTGGAGGGTACGCATCCGAGTGCATTGCAGCTGGGCCCTTTGCCTTCATGCATCCTGCCAGAAGCCTGGCTTAGCTTGCGTTCCCACGGGCACCCGGCCCCCTACTCAGATATGGGGGAGGGGAGGGGTCAGGCGGAGAGGAAAGGGACCCCCCCACCCGGCTGGCTTTTGCCAGCCCAACTCCCCGCAGGGTAACCGGGACATCCTCCTGTTCTTGTCGGAAGCTTCCTGGGAGCCTAGGACGTGCGGCTCTCCGAAGGCTGGGGTGGGAGCGGCACTGGGACCCATCCCCAGTGCTTCTCTCTTGGGGTCCTCAGCCAGGTGCCCTGAGCTCTGCAGGCACCGGGACTGCGGGACTACTTCTCTGCTCATGCGCAGCCCCCACCTTGGGATCCGTAACCTTTAGGAGCCCCAAGGAAGCAGGCCCAGCTGGGTGCTGGTGGAGGGACAGAAGGGTCGCGCTGAAGGTGAGGACTGCCTGGAACAAAGAGGAGAGAGAGACGTGGGGATCTAAGGACCGAGCGGAAGGCCCCTGCTGAGTCGGAACTCCCCAGCGCAGGGACTGCAGTGCCTGTCCCCATCTTATGCAAACGAAGAAACTGAGGCTAGGGGAAAGACTTTGCACGAGGTGGGCGCACAGTTGGAGGACCGGTGAGGGCCAGCAGGAGCATGCGCAGTTGCAGCCGGTCCCAGGGCCCTAGTCCACCACTAAGGTCTCCTGGCTGTAGGGGAGCGACTTCTGCATCTGCTCCCCGCCCTTGCCCGCGCTGGCACCCGGACCCTGGCTGTGCCCCGAAGAGTAGCTGGCAGACTTGTCCCCGCTGCCGCTGCTGTGAGAGGGCACCCCGCAGCCGCGCTGGCCCCAGCAGAGCACCGAGGCACAGGCCTGACGGAAGCGTGGGTCGAAGAAGGCGTAGAGGAACGGGTTGAGGCAGCTGTTGACATAGCTGATGCAGGTGCAGTAGGGAAAGATGTTTATGAGGAAGAGGTCAAAGCCGCAGGGCCAGTGCAGCAGGCTGCCCAGCATGTAGAGCGTCTTGACCAGGTGGTAGGGCAGCCAGCAGAGCGCGAAGGTCACCACCAGCACCACGATGATGCCCAGCAGCCGGCGCCGCTTGCGCAGGCCCTCGGCGCGCTCCTTGCGGAAGTGGCCGGCGATGGTCCGGGCGATGAAGAAGTAGCAGGTGAGCATGACAGAGAAGGGGGCCACGAAGCCCACGGCCGTGGACGAGACACCCAGCCCCACCTCCCAGGCCCACTCAGAGTCCACCGAGGAGGCCACCAGGGAATAGTTCATGTAGCAGTGTACGCCGGTGCTGTTGTCCGGGCTCCCCGTGGTGCGCAGCACCATGACCGGCGCGGCCAGCAGCGCAGCCAGCGCCCACAGCCCTGCCGTGGCCAAGGCCCCGCTGACCCGCAGCCGCAGCCGGGCGCTGGCCACCGGCCTCACGATGGCCAAGTATCGGTCAAAGCTGAGGCCAGTGAGGCAGAAGACGCTGGCATACATGTTCACGAAGACCAGGTAGCTGCTGAGCCGGCAGGAGAAGGTTCCGAAGGGCCAGTCGTAGTCCCGGTAGGTGTAGGTGGCCCAGAGTGGCAGCGTCGCCACGAAGGTGAGATCGGCCACCGCCAGGCTAGCGATGAAGACGTCGGCCGAGCGCCGCTTCTCCCGGCTGCTCCGAAACACAGTCCACAGCACCAAGCCATTGCCTGCAGTGCCCAGGAAAAAGACCAGCAGGTAGATGGCGGGGATGAGCTCGCCGGAGGACCGCCACTCCGTGTACTCGCACTCCGACTGGTTGTCGACCCCGTAATAGTTGTCAAACTCGCCCCCTTCCTCTTCCGTGCTAGGCATCAAGGAGGACGTGGGCAGGGGTCCCAGGGTGGTCAGGGCCATGGCACCAGAGTTTCAGGGCAGAGGCGGGGGCTGCAGCCACTCTGAGCCCTTCCCAGCCCTCAGGAGGAGTCCTAGGATGTCCCTTTCGGCTGCTGTCCTGCCACCTCTCCAGCCGGCCGGGCGGGAGGCTCCACTCCGGCCACCTCCTCAACCCAGCCTCAGACCTCTCCCGCCCACCTCCTGGCCACCCCCTCGTCCGTCCGGAGCAGAAGGATCCGGAGTCAGAGCCCACTTCTGTGCTGTTCTTCTCCCTCTGCTTGTCACTGGGCGGCGAGGAGGCCAGATGCGCCCCCACCCAGCAGGCAGGAGTTATCTGAGCTCCAGTGCCTGCAGGGATCCCGCTCCGCCCCCTCAGGCTGCCACCTCCTTCACCCCGGCCCCCCAGCCCTCTGCCTGCCCTTTGGGGAGCTCCCAGCTCCTCCTCCTAGCTCCAGCAAGGGGACAAATTATGCAGATTGAAATCCAGCCTGGCCTGCAGCAGGGGCAGGGGCAGGGCAAGAAGGGTGTGAGATTCCGCAGCACCAGGCCCGCATCTGGCGGCCTCCTGGGGGCCCTGCTGGGCTGCTCTCCTGCACCCCCAGCCCCAGAGCAGACTTCACACCAGGGCGGCCTTCCTGCCCCTCCTTCCTTCTTCCGCCCCTTGGTTTCCACCTTCTGTGGTGGCTTGCTCACAGAGCAGAGCAGAACTGTCCCCTCAGCTGCTGGTGCTGGCTGGGGCAGCGTGCAGGGACATGGAAACTCTCAAAGCATAGAGACTGAGTCACAGCAGGAGAGACCCTCAAGACGAAACGATCCCTCAGCAAGTCCCTGAATCTCTGGGGAAACTGAGGCTCCAGGAGACCAGTGCCCTGCCTGAGGCCACAGAGGGGACTTGCGGATGATCCGCTCTTGGCTTTTCTTCTGCTCTACCCCAAGCGCACACAGAACCCAGGACCTGGCATGCTGTAGGTGATCAGTAGCCAAATGATAGCTGAGTGAATAAGTGGCTGAATTCAATGAGGAAGTCAGGTCACAGACGGAGGAACAAGCGTCATGCCAGTGACCCTGTGCGCTGGGAGCAGGGACACAGTTCAATCCTGGGGCTCCCTCCTGCTGGACTGCAGGGACCAGAAGGGGACAAGAAGTGGTGGTAGAGGAAGAGGCAGCCACTGGAGGAGTGCTCTGGGTCCCGAAACTCACTCTGCCCCCCACCTCTGGGCAGGAAGCAAGAGGGTGCAGAGGAAAAGGTTAAAGCCCGCAGCTCCCCACCACCCCAAAGGGGAGGCCAGCTAAGGTTAAGCCATGCAAAGCAGAAGAGGCGAGTCAGGTGGAGGTGAGGGCCCGAGGCAGGAGTTGGCCTTGGCCACATCCAGAGGGTGGCGCTCCCAGAGCTGGCACACAAGCTGGTCAGGGGCCCTGCAAACCCAGACCCATGCGAGGCCAGGCCTAGCAGGCTGTGGGTACAGGAGCCACTTTCCGATAGCAGGAAGGAGCCACAGAGACTGGAGTGAACCCCAGCAGTTGGCCTGCTTCTCTACCAAGAAGAGGCTGGGCACCCACCCTGGTATCTGCCTGCCATCCCAGCTACTGGAAGCTGAGGCAGGAAGATCACTTGGGCCAGTTCAGGGCAGCCTAGGCAACATATGGAGACCTGGGGTACAAGAAAAGAAAACAGGAAAGAGGAGGGTCCCTCGGCACTGGACGTGTTGCCCAGGAGCACAGTGGAGCCACTGTGCCCAAGCCTTAGGCTCTGTCAAGGTGACTGCTGACTCTGGATTCTTAGGGAAATTCTCAGAGCCAGAGACTTGGGGAACTAATTCTATAGTTTTACAAAAAGCGGGAACAGACAAGGAAGAGGGATAGAAGATGCGGAGAAACAGAAGTGAAATTGACCATGTGTCATACATTGAAGCCCAAGGACCTGAAATCCCAGCACTAGGGAGGCCGAGGCAGGAGGACCACTGTGAGTCCAAGGGCAGCGTGGATTGCATAGCACAACTCTGGCTCAGAAAACCAGGAAGAAAAGACTGTGTGCTGGCCTCACGCCGTGCCCAGGCGCAGCTCCAAACACTGCAGATTTCTTCCCTTTCAGCCATCCACACACTGGAGGGTGGGCAATCTCATTAGCTCAACTTGGAGATGAGGCAGAGGCAGAGGAACTTGGTTGAGGTCCCGAGCTGATAAACTTCAGAGCCCGGATGCAGCCCAAATCACGATTTTCCCCAAGAAAAGCCTCCACTCTGAGGACGATGCCTGGACGGCATCGCAGGGGGCGGCGTGGCTGGGCGCAGATGCTGTGCTGAGCTTTGAGGTCACTCCTGGGAGTGGGGCTCGAACCTGGCACCTGCAATGCCCTGGGTGGCAGGCAGCAGTCTGCCCACCCGGAGTCAGTGCATTGGTGCCCCAGGCCAAGCTGTCTGGCACCAGCTGCAAGAGGGCAAGGATCCAGAACTAGGTTTAGGGGCCCTCGGGGTCCCTGGGAGAATACCATGGTCCCCAGCTCCCATCCTGACCTGCCCTGTTGGGGAGGAGAGGCCACCGGGGCTCCAAAATGCTCCTTTCCCTGTCAGAGGGACTGAGAGGGACCCAAGGGAGCCCAGGAGGACCCAGAGGAACCCAGAGTTCTGTGGCTGGACGGAGTTGCACTGATTGCTCCTGACTCCGGAGGGCAAGGACCGAAGGTGAGGCCCCCAATGTGCCCTACTCCTGCCTGGTTCTCCCCAAAGACGCATGTGCCTGAGCGTTTGGGACTCAGAATGTGGGCTGGGGGCGTGGGGCTGAAGTCCAGCCCCCATCTCCGTGCCCGGCTGTACACACCCAGAGTCCTCGGGCGCTGTCACAGTCAGGCCTCCAGCTAAGGGCCAGCCGCAGCCAGTGGCAGCCGAGGGTCCCCCCCACCCCCGCCAGCCCCATCGCCACCCCAGCTACCTCAGCCTGTCCCACGCGTGAGGAGCAATCTCTGTGCAGAGGTCGCCTCTGCCCGGTACACCCCAAGTCCACAGCCGTGCCCCACCACTCTGAGCCTAGGAAATATTGAGAAGCCGGGGGACAGCAGGCCTGATGCCCGTCCTCTGCCCTGGCCACCAGGAGCCCCAGCAGGCCTCCGGAGAGCCGGGGACACTCACCTGCCTCTCCTAGGGACCTCCCTGCGACAGCAACTGTGCCCAGCCTGGAGGGCCAGGGCCTAGCCCATGGGCTCCAGCACCATCGGCATCTACAGCCCTTGCCACAAAGCAGGGCAGCCAGGGCCTGCGGGGTCCTGGGGACCCCAGTGTGCACTCTGGGTGTGCCCGCAGGTTTGCAGGGTGTGCAGTGGCTGAAGAAATGCCTGGGAGAACAGCAGGGCAGCTCCCTGGATCATCTGGGCCCTCCTGCTGCTGCCCTGGGCAGAATCAAAACGCTGCACTCCACACTCAGTGTTAGGTGCCCAGTGCTCCCTGCTCACGCCTCCTGCTCAGCCCTCGCCTTGCAGGGCTGCTTTGAACTCAGCTGTGTCCCTAACAGCTGGCCCAGTCTTCTGGAGGGAAGGGAGGAGGGAACACACACACACACACACACACACACACTAAACTTATCTGCCCACAAACAAATGGTCAGCTGTCCCACCCTCCACCATTTGGTGCCCTGGGGGACAGCAGAGCCCAGGAATCACCCATTCTGAGGCCCAGCCCCCTCGGCTCACCCCGCGGGTCCCTACAAGACAGCTACTACGGGCCAGCTCCAAGGAGGCCCCAGCACGGAGCTTGAGCCCCCCAGACCCCAGCCCAGAGCCCCTGCCTTCTCCTTCAGAGGTGAGGAGAAGAGAAGCCCTCAGCGCTCAGATACAGCTCGCCCTGCCTGCGGCACAGGAGGCTCAGAAGCTGGTGCCTTGCACAGAGTGCCCGGGAGCCACTGATGCTGGCTAGGCGGGGAGTGGCTACCGTGCTCCAGACCCTAACACGGCCATCCTGGGTCGCAGGACCTGAGTCTGTAGCCCCAGCCGCGTGGACCCCAGGACAGGAGGCAGAGAGAGGAGGGGCTCTGTTGGGGTCCCAGGCCTCCCCGCCTGCCTCCTGGGCCTCTGCCCTATGCCTCCCCACCCTCCAGCTGTGGGCTTCCAACCAGCTACAGCTGAGGCCCAAGCAGGTGGTGGCCAGGCAGGAAGGAAAGGCCAGAGGGGCCAGGAGGAGGTCGGGCCCCCCACACGCAGAGCACTGGGTGCTGCGATGGTTAAGGGGATCACACAGCCACCTGGGACCTCACGAGGGGCAGGAAGCCCAGCCCCCACCAGAGACCACCTGCTGGCCCCTCCTGGCACAGGAGCAGCCCAGACTCCAGAACTGTAGAAGGGCTATAGTAGAAATCTCCTCCATTGCACTTGGGAGGCTGAGGCAGGAGGCTTGCCATGAGTTTGAGGCCAGCCTGGGCTACATAGTGAGACCCTATTTCAAAAAAGCAAAACAGAAGAAAAAAGAGAGGAGAACAGAGGGGAGGGGAGAGGGAGGGAAGGAGAGGAGAGGAGAAGAGAAGAGAGGAGAGGAGAGGAGAGGAGAGGAGAGGAGAGGAGAGGAGAGGAGAAAAAGCTCAGCCACGCTGCCTGCCCCAGAGCATCTTGGGTACCCCTGGCTCAGGCACCAGTCCTGTAGTGTCAGCCCTGCCCAGACCTCCCTGCTCTGTTCAGCCCACCTTCAGTGGATCTGAGCACAAGGGCTGGAGCCAGGTGGCAGAGCTGCCACTTAGAAGTCAGAGTTCCCCCGCAGCCCCCAAGCTAGAGCCCGATCATTTGAGACTGTTTTCCCATCTACAAAAAGGAAATCTTCACTTTGTCTATATCCTGGGCTGGTTAGGGCTCAGTGTGAGTGGAGCAAAGGCCCTGGGATTCAGAGAGAGAGGAGAGAGGAGAGCCAAGCTGCAGGAGCAAAAGAAAGGGCTCAGGACATCCCAAGGCTGTGAGGAAAACGTGGCGTTTACATGAAATGGAGTACTACTCAGCCATGAACAAGGAGGGCATGAGTCATTTGAAGGAGAACGGATGCAACAGCAGACCTTAACGTTAAGAGAAGTCAGACACGTGCGGTAAATACCGCATAGCTCCTCTTACACGAGAAAGCCAAAATATAAATGATTGAAGAGCAAAATGAAAAATAACAAGAAACAGACAAATCCGCAAACGGGAAGGTGACTGAGAGACGCGGGTGAGCGAAGGGCATATAAAAAGAGTAAGAAGCGCTGTGCGCATGCGCAGCAACTCCCCCACAAGGAACGGGGTCGCTATGCGCTGCAAACATGGACTCAGAAAAATAAAACATTTTTTTAAGTCCTAGGGCGACTGGGCGTGGT